GGGGGGGGTATATAGTAATATGGTATATATGTAACAAAGTCCCGTATACCAGCTCAGCCACGCGTTTACGTGTAAACGTATTGTGTTTATCTCGCTTTTTTTTTATGAGAAAAAAAGAGAAAAAAACTCATTCCTCTCATCCTTCCACTCTCTCGTACTCCTACTACAGGCGAAATCCGAGTATCTTGCGTAGTAAGTTCATGTTACTCGGGCAGAGACATGATGGCATCCTGAACCGCCTTGCTCTTAGCTCTGACGTCATCATCAAAGTCGATGACCCCTTGACCCAAGGCGTTCAGCATTTCTGGATTCTGGACGACCTGGTTGATGGTGAGGGTACGGGTGACGACATCCGTAAAGGAGATTCGTGCCCTCTCCTCATTGTCGGCGCCTATCAAGTTTTGGGGTTAGCTGTATGTTGTGACGTTGCGTGTGCGTGTGTGTGCGTGTGAAGAAGGTAGAGGAGGGACAAGAGAAAGAAAGAGAGGAGGAAGAAGATGATGAAGTAGAAGAAGAAGAAGAGGAGGAGGAGGAGGAGAAAACATACCCTGATTTAGTGAAGGGATCTGATTAGGATATTTGACAGCCTCGCCCTTGCGTAAATGGTCGATCTCCGTCATGATGTAGTGGCTACGCTTGACGAAATCCCAGACGTGGAAGAGGGAGGGGTGAGGCTTGGGAGGGGTCCATTTCGGGTGGCGTTCGAGGGTTTTGGCAAAGTCGTCGAGCTTGGAGATGATGAGCTCCTGGTCCTGGAGGCTGGGAATGGGCACCATTGTACTTGTCCTCTCCCCTCGTACCTCTGCCGTCGTCTTTCAAGCGTCGTCCTTCAAGATATCTCTCCGTCGGTGCCGTACCTCCGCAGGCAAGGCTGATGTCGAAGAGGGATCGATGATGTGGGGTTGGGATCTTGTCTTGGTTGTTTGTTTGGTTGGTTGGTTGGTTGGTTGGATGGATGGAGATGGTGGTGCTCCGTTATTCCCTTAACAAGTCTGTATTGCCATGTACAGCCTGTTTCACCTCGATATAGGGATATGAGAACTGGTGATATGCATGTAGGAATCAGTCATGATAGTCTATAGAACTGCGGATACGGAGTAATAATACTACCAGTCTTGGGGAGGAGAGCACGAGTAGTGAAGCATCACGACGGGTATTTATTCATTACGAGCAGTGATACTGCATGTAATCGTATTACCCATGAGTGATGGCTGGAATGCATGCCGACCAGTAAGTTGATAATAACGAATATCAGTCGCGGTGCTTATTCGAGGCGGCAACAGACGCTCCTTCCGAGCTCGCTCCTTCCCTTTGCTGGGCCGCCCGCCGTTTGCGCCTTCCCCACCTCCGTTATGCAACTTGCCCGTTAATATCCAAGCAGCTGAGATCGAACATGCTAGATCACGTCTTCTCCTCTCTACCCTGTTGCGCCAGCCTCGCCATCCATCACCGACTTGGATCTGTTCCTCAATCACTCTCGACCACAATACACGACACATCCGATATATCCGTCTCCGCCAAGTTTCCTCCATCGCGGCACCTGCATCTACAGACCCTCGTGACCGCGCCTCGAAACGAGCAGAGGAGACGAGACCAGCCACCGCCACCGACCACCACCACCACCCTTCCGCCGACAGACCCCTTCGAACAGCATAAGCTGATTCCAGCCCGCCTCTGCGTCGCATCATTCGACGGAGACCCCAGATCCAGGAGGGGCAACGGAGAAGAAGGGGACAGCAGAGAAGAGAGGTGTCCGGCCTGACAGTACTTCGTCTTTAAATGCCGCCAACCGATCACAGGGTATATTCATGTCCCCCGGTCAGCCAGAAGTAGCCACTGGCCCCCCGGACCAGGGGTTTCGGCAAGACCTCGACGCCCGCCGACCCCGGGACTCCGTCGACGCGAACTCTCCCACCATCTCTTCCACCACTTCCACCACTCCCGCTTCTTCCTTCACCGCTCCCGAACCCTCACAGGCCCGTGGCGTCGTCCGCCTGTTCCAGTGCCGCCTCTGCTCCTCCCCCTTCAGAGACCCCGTCGCGCTCCCATGCGGGAGGGCGCTATGCCGGACGTGTCTTCCCCAGCCCCATGACCGTCTCAACATCACCTATCCTACCGGCCTGGAGAGGTCGAAGGGAATCGTCTGTCCGTTTGACGACTGCCGCAAGGAACATGCCCTCATCGACTGCAGCAGCGACATCATCCTCAACAAGCTCGTGGACTTCCTCCGTGACGCCGTCATCCGAGACACCCGCGAGGTCGGGAGGTCGACGTCGATCGCCGCTGTGCCGCCCAGGTCAAGCCAGGATGGAGAAGGGGAACGGCCTGCTGGACCGGCCGACCTCTCTGTCATCCAAGGCGGTCAGCTAGCAGCCGTCTGGGCTCTGGCCGATCGGGGCGGCTTGCACTTCGATCAGCAGGTCGTGTATGGCGACGCGGAGCTCGACGAGGCCCCTGCCCGTCCAGACTCCGACGTCATCCGCAGGCTCCAGGACGACTCGCGGAGTGAGATGGACTGCCAGGTCTGCTACGGCCTCTTCTGCGACCCCCTGACCACGGCATGCGGCCACACCTTCTGCCGCTCGTGCCTCCAGCGCATCCTCGACCATTCGCAGTACTGCCCCATCTGCCGACGACGGCTTCCCATGAACCCCATGCTCAACCGCACGGCCTGCCCGTCCAACAGCACGCTGAGCCGGATGATTGACGCGTTCTGGGCCGACGAGCTGGTCCAGCGCAGGAAGACGATAGCTGCCGACCAGGATCTCGGCCACGGCGGTGACTACGACATAGCCCTGTTTGTGTGCACCATGGCGTTTCCCATGATGCCGACGTTCCTCCACGTCTTCGAGCCGCGTTATCGCCTCCTGATCCGGAGGGCGCTCGACGGTGACCGCACCTTTGGCATGGTGCTCCCCAAGAGGCCCCGGTACGTCGACGACGCCTATTTCCACGAGTACGGTACGCTCCTGCGCATCACCAACGCCCACTTCTACCCGGACGGCCGCAGCCTGGTCGAGACCAGAGGGGTGTCGCGCTTCCGCGTCATCGGTCACGGCATCCTGGACGGCTATGCAGTCGGCAAGATTGAGCGTATCGATGACGTGAGCGTTGAGGAAGAGGAAGAATCCGAAGCACAGGAAGCACAGGCAGCATCGGCCCGCGGCGACTACTCCGCTGGAAAATCGCCGCAGGGCCAGCAGGAGCAGCAGCAGCAGCAGCGGCGGCAGCAGGAGCACCAGGAGCACCAGGGGCGGCGACAGAGCACGGAGACATCGCCGCCTACGCCACCACCGGAAGGCGAGAACCGCCATCAGCACGAAGATGACCGGGGGCCGCAGGGGGTCCGGAGATCGAGAGACGCAGACGCCATGTCGACGAGGAGCCTGGCCGACTTTGCGCTCGAATTCGTGTCTCGGATGAGAGCCCGCGGCGTTCCCTGGCTGTCGGACCACATGATTGAGATTTACGGCGAGTGTCCCAGCGACGCGGCCCTCCTCCCGTGGTGGCTGGCCAGCACGCTCCCCCTCCGCGACAGCGAAAAGTATCTCTTGCTGAGGACGTCGAGCGTCCGCGACAGACTCAAGATCTGCTACAGGTGGATCGTAGAGTGGGAGTCTAGCCCTTGGTGGGTTCTCCTAATTTACTTTTTGATCTTTGTTCTGTTCCTTCTCGCCGTCCTCTCCATCTCCCAGACCGTCCATGCATGAAGCTGATTCTTCTCCTCGTCGTCGCACTTGTCTCTAGGTCTATCCGTCCAGGGTGTGTTGTCTTGTAGAGGAGAGAGAAATGGTGACGATGATGTCATGATTCAACCCTGAGCATAGTGCTCTATATCGAGCATTTCAATCAAGATTTTGTTTTTAATTTTAATTTTAATTTTTTTTGTATTTTGGACTCTTACAAAGCACGTCTTTCTTTCTTTTTTTCTTTTCTTTTTTTTCTTTAAAAAAAAGGCATTTGTAACCATTTCGTCCTTTCATTTTCCTTCCCTACAAGTCAAGTGTTCTCTCTCTCTCTCTCCCTCACCCTCCCCTCCTCACCAAACAGCCGCATCAACTTGACCGCCCGTAGCCACAGCAGCAGTAGGATCACACCAGGATCCGGGCATGTGATGGACGTCGTCGTCGGTTGCAACGGCAGCAGGTGTAGATGAGCCCCATGTATTTCCGGGGTCATTGCTGTCGTCGTCGTTGGCGTCGTCGTCAATGTTTGCATCTCCCCATCCTGTCTGGTTGGCATTGCTATCATTGTTGGTATCGGCCCATCCTGCCTGGTCATTGTTGTTATTGTTGTCGTCATCATTCACATCACCCCATCCACCCGAACCTGCCTGTCTGATATTGTCGTCATCAACCCATCCGGATACAGGCCCGCGGTTACTCTTGGCATCTCCCCAGCCATCTTGTCCGGGGCCGCCGTGGCTGTCGCCCCCCACCGTGGTGCCAGCGCCAGCGGTGTCGTTCATGTCCCGGGGAGACCTGGAGGAGGGGGATCGGTTGGCGAAGATGGATTTCTTGGGGAGAAGGTAGGGGTTGTCTTTTCCGATCTGTAACTGTTAGCTTTTTAAATATCTCTTTCTTTTCTTTTTTTTTTAAAAAAAAAGAGGAAGGAAAAAACTCTTTCGTCTTTTTTGTTTATTCCTCTACTCCTCGTTTCCCTCTCTCTCTCTTTTTCTTTCTTTCTGTTTTTTTGTTTGTTTTTTGTTTTGTTGTTTTGCAAAAGAGAAATAATAAGCGAGATGTACAAAGAGGGTGATGCAGAGTAAAAAGATGGTACACAATATGTAGATATAGATTTACCTTGTAACCTCTCGGCATGCCATCATCGACAGCAGCATCGACACCAAAAGCACCCTTGTTCGTAGCCGGTTCCGGGGAAGGAGCAGTAGCGGCAGCAGCAGCACCATGAGGAGGAGCGAGGTACGCCTCATTCTCCATGGGGGGGTAGTACATTGGGTGCTGCTGCTGCTGCCACGCGTAATCCCACCCGTCGCTCAGGGGCCTGGCAAAACCGTGATGGTACGGATTCTGCATGGGATGCGGGACGCCCATCGGCAGCGGACGCAGGGAGGTATCGCGGCGTGGGTACAGGGACTGGAATTGGCCCGCGTTGCTGGCGCTGCTGCTTCTCCCCCACACGGGACCGTGATACACGCGGACGATGTTGTTCCGGGCGTCGTAGTAGGCGTTTGGGCTGGGGTCTTCGGGCGTCTCGATGACGCGCTCCGTCTGGACCACTTCGGCGCGGATGGGCTCGATGTAGTTTGGCCGACGGGGGTGGGGGCCCGGAAGGGCCGAGGGGTAGCTGTTGGCCTTTTTGTCGGGGATCGGTACGTCTGCTTTGAGTTTCTGTTGCTGCTCTGCATTGCTGTCGGTTGTGCGCTTCTCCTCTTCCCTCTCCTCCTCCTCCTCCTCCTCCTCCTCCTTCTTCTTCTTCTTCTTCGTCTTCTTCTTATCCTTCTTCCTGCTGTGGTTGTTGCGGTGGTCGTTGCTGCTGCTGCCGTGCCTTCTCTTGTGACTCTTCTTCTTAGCAGCTTCTTCTGCTTTCCTCATCTTGCGTCGTCCCCTTGTACATTTCGGACACTTGCATGTCGGATGCGGTTCGTCGTCGTCGTCGTCGTCGTCGTCGTCATCATCATCATCGGTGGTGGTGGTAGTATCCGAGTCTGAGTCTGATTCTGTCTCCTCATTCTTCCTATACTTGCTTCTGCTGTGCTTCATATCAATAATCTTCTTCTTCTTTTCTTCCCTCTTCTTTATTGGGCTAGGAATCTTCTTCATTTCTAAGACGGGAAGGGAGAAGGAGCTGTCTTTCAAAGTCTCACGCCCCCCCGAGCTGTCGGTCGTGGTCTCTCCAGGGGCATCTTCGTCAGTCGACCTTCCACGCTCTGAAGAGGAAGGAGGAGCATTCTCCGACGCCGATTCCGACCCCGACTGCTCTGTCACGCTGCATTCCGGCTCTGATTCGGATTCGGACTCGGTGACGACGGTCTGGGTGGTCGTCTCGGTGGTCGTCTTCTTGGTCCTCTTCATGGCCGACTTGGGAGCATCGGTCTGTTCTTGGAAACGGACTTTCTTCGGGGTGTCTGGTGCCGCTGCTGGTTCTTCAGTAGTAGGCTTCGCGAGGGTTGGAGTAGGATCTGCTGCTGATGCTTCTTCTTCTTCTTCCTCTGCTGATGCGATATCGTTCCCATCTCTGTCCCTACGCCTTCTTCTCTGCTCCGGGCGTCGACCTGCTGCTGCTGGAGAACGAGATGATGTACGGGGATACGTCACCCTCACACTATCACGGCCAGACTCATCATCTGTATAGACTTCGACTCTGACTATACCTCTTCTCCGACGATGTGATGCCTTGCCACCGCCACCAGGTGTTTTGTTGTGTCCCAGGATAGAGTTGATATTCGTTCCAATCATCCATTCACCAAAGGATGAGGGACCTGTCCTCCGAGGCATTTTTCTTTGTGTTTGGGGGATCTTGTTTCTCGTTTTGGTTTTGTTTCTCTTTCTGTTCTGTGTCTTGTCTTTCTATTCTTTTCTGCCTTGCTTTTTTTCTTCTTTTTCTTTGTTTAGATATATCGGATGAATAAGGACTTCATATTGAAAAAAAAAGAAGATGAAGAAAAGGAAGAGAGGGAGTTGTTGTGCAAGAATAAAAGAAATAGACAAGAAAGGAAAACACGGTGTGCGTGACGGAGGAACATGTCACGAGGTGATGCCTAGATGATGCCCAGGTGAGGGATTGGCTCTTTATAAATGGCCATCACTGCTCATCTCTTCAACAGATCCCTCCGCGTGCGAAGCATAGCGCATCTGTAACGTCTTCGACAGTGGAATGACGATCTGACGTTGCAGATACGCCAAGTCTGGGCAGAACCTGTGGATAGTGAATGGGTCAATGCTGGACCGACTTCTGCCATTGTGGTGACTGGAAATCACGTAGTTGCACAAGTACGAATAGCCTTGACTTCGTTAGCAGGCACAGAAGAAACGCATCACCGTGCATGTCCTAATGTCACTCTGCGTATACATCCCCCCAACAATCATGTCGGTGCTTATATACAGCTGAACAGGAGCAGAAGAAGGGGTGGCTTCCGTTTATCGAATCACACACATCGATGGTTCGAACGTCAAACGTGCTCGATGGAGGTGGTATATCTATACAAGTTCCATACGCAACCTTTTCTTCAACCATCGTCATCAACGTTGACCTCGTCCAACTTTCAAAATATCCTCTCTCGCCCGTTCTCGGACTCACCAAACAATTTGAACCATAAGCCCTCCGAACACTTGCCAGGTGCGTCCCAGCATGTTTACCTCGTACTCCGCCCCCACCCCCAGTCTTCTGCTCCTCGTCGGAGGCCCTCAACCTCGTCCTACTCGTTGGAGGGTTGCACCTTTCGCGTTGTCGGGGGCTTCCTCGGCCGGTTCTTCTACCCGGACGGCTTGGGGGGGGGGGAGCAGATGTGTCGTCGGTGAAGAGCCTCAAGTCCAAAGAAGTCAACGTGACATCGGATGGGCTCGCGAGACTCACAAACGCCTTTCTGGGTTGTATAGACGGTGTCCGCATCTTGCGCTTAGAACCAGATCTATCCTCTTCGGTGACGGGGAGATACCATTCCTGAGAAGTCCCGATGGAGACCTAAACTGAATTTACAGCGTCATCCTCAAGGCGTAGGTATGATGAAGCCCCCTTGAACAGGTTTACCAAGCTTGGAACAACGGTAGTGAGGGGGAGAGGAAGTAAAAAAACACGACTTCAAAAAATCAGATAAATAGATAAACTGGGTTTCAAGCCATGGTAATAAAGCAACATGAGATGGGAGTATACCGACGCAAGGAAGAGAAGACGTCACATTCTACAGGGAGAGAGCCTCGGGTAGGCCTTGATTATTAATATGAAGAAGATGAATCGTTTGGAGTATCAGAGTGGCCACGTGATCAGACGTCATGACTCTCAAGAGAAAAAAGAAAAAAAGGTAAAAGATGACCGAATAAAGAGTATTATTCTTGAAGAATCAATCTTCTGGAATTGAATATTCGAATTGACGTTTTTTTTTTCTTGTTGAAAAAAGTGTTTCCTAAAAGGTTATCATTCTCAATCATTCTCCACGATTCTAGGTGATGCCAAGTGAGGATATGATCTGATGATATAGTGAGGAGGTTATATTACGCCATGCCTCAACACGTCACTTAATACCCGCAATACCATCTTACATCGTTTCTCATCAACCACACACGACAACAACAACCCCCAAAGGATAAGAGAAATCAGAGAAGGAGATAAAAAAGAAAAGAGAAGAAAAGAGAAGAAAAAAAAGGAGAGAGAGAGAGAGAGAGAGAGAGAGAGAAGAGAGAGAGAAGAGAGAGAGAGAGAGTGTGTGTGTATGAGAGAGAGTGTGAGAGAGAGTGAGAGAGAGTGAGAGTGAGAGAGTGAGAGAGTGAGAGAGAGTGAGGGAGAGAAAGGAAAGAAGGAAAAAATGCTTCTAATCGGTCTGACCGGCTCCATAGCGACCGGCAAATCCACCGTGTCGAGCATGCTCTCCTCGCCACCCCACTCCCTCCCCATCATCGACGCCGACAAGCTAGCGCGGGATGTAGTCGAACCGGGGACGCGCGGTTACGCCGCCATCCTGCGGCATTTCCACCCGACGACGCCGGACCTCCTCGTCCCGGCGTCGGACACCATGCCCGAGGACGGGCCGGCGGGTCTGGGCAGGCCCCTCAACCGACCGGCCCTAGGCAAGCGCGTCTTCGGCGATGACGAGGAGCGGCGCCGCGACCGCGCCGTCCTCAACGCCATCGTCCACCCGGCCGTCCGGCGCGCCATGCTCTGGCGCGTGCTCGGCCTGTACGTCCGCGGTCACTGGGCCGTCGTGCTGGACGTGCCCCTCCTGATCGAGAGCCGGCTCGACCGGTTCTGCGGCGTCGTCGCCGTCGTCGCCGTGCGCGACCCGGCCGTCCAGATGGACCGCCTGCGCAAGAGGGACCCCCACCTCTCCCCCCGAGACGCCGAGGCCCGCGTCTCCAGCCAGACAGACGTCCGGCTCAAGGCCGCCAGGTGCCAGGACAGGGGGGCCGGGAAGGGCATCGTCCTCTGGAACGACACCGACACCCGCAGCCTGCAGGACCAGGTAGACGCCGCCGTGAGCGACCTCCGCGCCCGCACCCCCGCCTGGTGGTCCTGGGCCCTCCTCGCCTGCCCTCCCCTCGCCGCCGCCGTCGCCGCCTGGCGCTTCTGGGATAATGCTAAGCTGCAGAGGCTGTGGGAGGAAAAGGAGAGGCAGACTGTCAAGGGGGACTGAAGGGGTACTTCTGAAGCCGGGGGGGGGGGGGGGGGGATGGGAGAGCAATGTCTGCTCTTCTCCCCACCTCCTTTTCCCTCTTTCTCTCTCTCGTCTGGACCTCTGTCGGTGAGCTGGAGTGGTTGCTGAGTGCGTCGGACAGGAATTGCGCCAACAGATTGCGTCTTGTAAACATGGGCGGTACTATTTGTCTTTCATACCATCGTTCAGTCTCTTGTCTTCTTTCCTCATTTATTCTTTCTTGATCTTTATTACTGTCTACGATACCAGTACTCATTACTATTATACTTCTATTACCACTATATATACTCACTACCGGGTGTAGACCTGGCACCGACATGCTTGCTTGTCTCGAGTGTAGCTTGTGAGCAGGAATATGATGCCCGTAGGCTGACAGATCACAGCTGGGGAGATGGGCACATTTTTTCATCGCCACTTGCATCTGCCGAAACCGTGTGTCGTTGCCCACAGCTTCTCCTCTCTCAATAACCACGGGCTACCCATTCGTCATCAGCCAACATGGACATTGTGTCATTGATGCTAATGTACAACACTGTGATCCCTTTATTTTTTTCCAGCCGGCATTCTTCACTATCCTTCTTCTCCTTCATCACTGTCCTTCATCTCTCTGGCTCAATATAATGACGGTGTCGATATGACCCCTCGTACTTCCCACCTGACCGATCAACCACGTCGAATAAGACGGAGTGGCAAGATCGTCAAATTTAGTTAGGGAGACGAACTGCATAGAACCAACCGCCGTCCGTGAGGTACCACCGACAATCGCCCAGGTGGTCAATGGTGAAGCGGTTCCTCTGGGTCCAGTTTCCGTCGAGCTCGCGAACAAAGTAGAAGCGGGAAGGATCGTCGTCAGAAGGCTTGAAATCCTGCGCCTCGAACATGCTGTTGGCCTGGGCAAAGTTGGCCTGGCGGGTCTGCTCCTCGCTCGCTGTGCGGCCTATGCCGGCAATGTCTGGCGCGAGACCGGCGGCGTTGAGAGGGAAAGGAGGCATCGTCGCCTGGGTCGCTGGCGCCGTCCCCGGCTGCTGCTGCGCCCAGGGGGGTATGGCAGGCTGGCCGTTGACCATGTAGGGGTACTGCATAAATATTTGTTGGGGGTGGGGAAAATAGGCTTGCTGGTTCTGGAGTCCGTTGCCATCGGGCATTTTCTGTGAGTGTTTGAAAAGTCAGTCATGATCCCTTCTTTGCATCATCAGTCAACAAGTATAGCAGCATTGGGCATGTTCGAAGCCAGGAGCATGCGAGAATACACCACAGAACACGCAGTCTCTCTACCCCCCTATCAAACGAAAATAGAAGGGAGAAAGAAGGGAAGCGGATTTCCCAAAAAGAAAAAGAAGGAAGCCTGCATATCTTCTAGGCCTGTTCCAAAACGCATGGTTAGGCATAGATGAAAGAGCCGGAGAGACAGACAACAAAGCCAAAAGGACCACAGGAATGCTGGGGAGGCGCAGGCCCGACATCGGATCGTGGAGTGTAGACATGGTTCATAGGTCCCATCGAGGTATCAGGAACAGGAGGCTGGAAGTTGAGGCCCTGGCCCTGGGGACCAGCGTTCTGGAAGTCGGCATCCATGGTGGTGTTGGAGGGGGTCGAGTACAAATAATAGCTGGGCGGGTTCTAGAGGAGGAAAAAAGAGGAGAGGGGAAAGGGATGTGAGTATGAGTCGACGTGAAACTGGGAGAAGTTGCGATGAGGTGAGAAGAGGGGAGGGAAGCGTGAGGGAGGAAGATGGAAGGTGCTTGCTTACTACAAAAGCAGCAGCCGGATGGAAAACACCCCAGGTGGGACCGGCGGGCAGCTGTCCGTCAGGTGCGTGCCAGATGGCGGGAATACCGCCAAATGGAGGCTGGCCGAAGCCCTGGTTTCCCACGCTCAGGCTCGGGTTGGTGGATGTGTGCCGGAAACCTCCCGGGCCTCGTTCTTGTCCCGATGTCTGAGGCGGTTGCTGCTGTTGCTGTTTGTCTTGTGGCAGGCGAAGGGCGGGAAAGCCATCCGGCTGGGTATTCTTGGTGGCCTCGTCGGACGATATATCCTGCCCGGCTGTGCTCGTGCTATAGCCCGCTTTGCTATCGCCAGATGAAGAGTCCTTGGAAGCTGAGCATTGACCGACGCTGTCCTTCCCAGTGGCGTTGGTGCCGTTGGATTTCCTGGATTTGGTGAGCGGGAAGGGGATAGGACGTCCGAGGTACTCTGCGTGACCAGTGTAGCTGGCAGAAGTGGTGGTCCTCGCACGTCTGGCTTCGTCGTCGTTATCTTCCTCCTTCTTTTGGAAGTGGACCTGGCGAAAGGGACTGTAGGAGTGACGACTGCTCCTGCGTGTGTTTCCCGATCCTTCACCCATTTTCCAAGTAAAAAGATTTTTTTTCTAAAAGAAAAAATAAAAAGAAAAGACGGATCACGGGAGGGAGATATATCTCTCAACGGTGGAATACCGAGGGAGGCGTAATTGAGGAAAGAGCAGCCCCTTTCTCTCTCGTTCTTGCCGATCTCGTGGCGATATCGAGCCATAGAAGAGAATATGAGGTAGGAAATCCTCGACTTTATATATAGAGAAGAAGATACTCACAAAACGAAAGGGTTTAAAATCATCCAAAACAAAACAAGGACAGAAACTCATTGTCTTCGTTGCCTGAGCTAGACTCACTTCTTGCTCAGATACTTGGTAGCCAACTGCTCGGCACCTGGCACCTGACCGTGACGAAGGTTCACAGATGCACAACACAGAAATGATAAGAAGGAAAAGATACAGGATTGGAACACACAGTAAGAAGAAGAACAGATGAGAGGAAGGAATGCAGAGAAAGAAGGAGAAGAAGAAGGAAATCTTACCTGACGCTTCAGAGTCCATGACTGCCCGTCGTACACCCACGTTGACTGCTCAGGCAGAGAAGCCAATGAATCCAGCGGGTCATCGTACTTGACCCATGTCCATGGGAAACATGGGAGACACATGCTGTCCTGCTTCTCCTGCTTCTCCTGCTTCTGCTGCTGCTTCTGCTGCTTCTGCTGCTTCTGCTGCTTCTGCTGCGTAACCATCACTCTGAACGTGACTGTCGATGCTGACGCTCTGTAGGCAAGATGCCGCGAGGAGCAGTTTGCCTCTCACATTCAAAGTGTGTGTGAAGGAAAGAGAAGGCAGCGGGAGGAGACGAAACTCACCTTGACCACCTTGGCAGAGAGGACAGGTGCCACCTGCCAGATAAGACCACTCTCTACTAATGCAGTGGTGATAAGTCACCATGGCACCCACATGCTGTCACTCCGAATCGCTCCCACAACTGTAGAACAGAAAAATTACATGAGTTTGCAGCCCAGGCGCCCCGGCCTCCGCCGTCTAATGCTTCGCTGCCTTTCCTAATCTAGTGTACACTTCGGTGTCCCGTGGGAGTAGAGAGAAGGCCGATCCATGGCCATGCATTTCTTCCTTCCTAATCGCCCCTCATCCAAAAGCCACGCACGACGTACCTGACAACGACAGTCCGCACGGCACGTAACAACTCTGAGCGCTGTAGATTCAGCAATATACAAGGGGGGGTTTTACAAAAAAAAACAAAAAAAGGCAGAAGAGGTGAGAGAAAAAAAGGCATTATGGACGGGGGCCATCCCCAGAGGAAAGTCATCTCTCCTTGTTCGTCTTTCCATCTCGATCCGGTCCTCCGTCGACGTTGCAACAGCCATGACTCGGCTTACCAGTGACCGATTCCCGATATACATGAGCCATATGTCGTTCTCTTCCTTTTTATCTTTTCAAACGCGTATTAAAATCGTAGAGGGGGTTTTTCTTCTTCTTCGTTTAGAGAGAGTCCGAAGTGCTGATGGGTTCCTGGTTGGGAACAGGGAAGAAGGACCGTCGAGCAATCTGTAAACACACAGTCGTCGTTAGAAGAGTAGCGATGGCTGACGTCCCCCAGGAAAGAATATCACCCGAAAAGAAAGGAAAATAGGGCGAGAAAGAGAAGGGGAGAGAGGAAAAAAACGTACCGCCCAGAGACCGGCAACACCACCGATGAGACCACCGGAGATGAGCATAGGTCTGAGACCCCGGGTGCTCTTGAAGACCATACCACTCAGGACACCAGCGGCCACCGAGTTGCCGGCATCGTGCTTCCCGCGCAGCGATCCGATGAGGGAGTTGATGCAGTTGTACGTGATGGCAACGGTACCGGCCGAGTTGCCCAGAAAGGGGCCGCGGCGCGTGACCGAGTTGAGGACCGAGTTGAGACGGAGCTTGGGCGCCTGACCCTCGGACTTGCGCATGCCCTCCTGGAGGCCCCAGAAGCCACCGACCGTCAGGCCGGCCAGGTATGTGACACCGGTGCCGTAGCACAGGTCGTCGGTGAAGCCGCGTGAGGGCAGGACTGACTGCGAGCCCGACAGGTCCGACAGCACGCCGTCCTCGAGCGTCAGGTACTCGAGGGTGTCCTGGTTCAGCCCAGCGAGGGGGTGAAGCTGGGTGGCGTCGGCGAATGTCGACGGCTGAAGGAATCCCTCGACGCCCTGACCTTCTGAAGGGTCAAAGGCCGGCACCGACGTCGATGCGTGACTGTCGTAATGCTGATTCTGCTGCTGCTGCGGCTGCTGCTGCTGCGGCTTGTTGCCGCCTGTAAAAGCGCCCCAGATGGATGACATGGCGTCGTCGTCGGTCGGTCGTCGGTCGGTCAAGAGACGGACAGCACAGACACAAAAAGAAAAGTATCTATACCCTGTGACACACGAGAAGGAGAGCAAGAGGAGGAAGGAAGGTCACACCCCGTCGTCTGTTTAGGTCTTGATGGTGGTGGAGATGACCGCGGAGGTATTAAAGGGGGGGGGGGGGGGGTGTATAGAAAATGATGGACAATGATAGATCCCGGCCGGCCGTACGAGTAAAGAACGCCAAAAAAAAAAATTGGGTGGCTCGTTTTTTTTTTTTGTTGCTCGCTGAGGAGGACTGCACCCAAAAAAGGCCTATATCTCGGGAAGGAACGCGAGGGAACAGGAAGAAGAAAAGGGTACGTACCGACCGTATTTATCAACCGGATCTTCTATTTCTCCATGACCCTTGCCTTTAACCTGCCTAGGCCTGCCTTTTTTTTTTCTTCCCTTTTTATTTTTTTTTTTATAAGGAAGTAGGCACGTGATTTGGGGACACTAAATCCAGATTTAGATTAGCGTATTGTGCCCTGGGAGAAGAATAAAAAGCTGCGTTGCGATTTTCAATTTGCGATTTTCTTTTCTTCTTTCCCTCTTCATCATCAGTTTGGGTTATTTCTACACCATCAAATGTTTAAATAATTCAATGGCGGCTCCGCATAGCGGCTTGCTGAGGGTTATCCTTCGATTCTCTGTGGGTTTCCTTCCGTTCCCGGCCTCCTAAAGTAAAAGTGACCACTCTTTCCTATCAGCCGCAAGCTTCGTCTTCGACTTGTGACTGTGGGGTGGTTTCGACATCTCCTCACGGAGAGGATCTCTCTGTATCTTATATATACATGATATATGCCCGTAATTGCTCGTCTTCTTGGCAAGCTGTCACTTCTGCGTAGATCGCCCTGGTGCCATGCTGAGGTGGCCCTGGTGTACAAATGGCAACTCGACCGTCGGGTTTCGCTATGCTGTGCCCCTTGACCCCTCCACGAAGAAAAAACTCTGCCCGGGCTCGAGCCAGCACGCGTCGTTGGAATCAGGAGGGAGGTTGCAAGGCCACGCTTCACGCTCGGGGTACTTGTGGGTTCGATACTGAGCTGAAATTCAATCAACTTTGGATCGTCCGTGTTGACGCGCAACCGTGATGGCAGTGACGCAACAAGTCAACGTGCGGCCATGCTTGCAGGGGGGGGGGGGGATCAGTTTCGCTAGATCGATGACAACTGGGTCAAGGACAAGACGGTTGGAGGAAACACTCGGGCAGGAGACATGGATCCGATCGTTCATGGCAGAAACACCGAGTACTATGGAACTCCTGAACAAGCTACTGGACTACTACTGGTAGTAACAGTATCAATACCGATGTGCCGTAGAAATAATGCAATAACGCCGTCCTTGACCTCAGGGTCTGAGCACGCCCTCGGTTCTTGTTTTCCCGATTCGCTATCCTCTTCCTAGTCGTCGCCATTATTTCCCGCCATCCTAGTTCTCCTTCTCCTCCTTCTCCTTCTTCTCTCTATACACGCCGTAGGATGTTGGCTGCGATATCCGCAGTGTTAGGCAGTGGTGGCACCGTCTTCCGTCGAAAGAAGAGGCCGCCGATCGTCGCGGTTCTCAGCCCCGCCATGCCCGTTTACTCGCCGACGAGGCGCGCTCTCGGTCTCCTGGTTGTCATAGAAGAAGTACTGCGCAAAGACGCCCAGGTCCAGGAGCAGCGTGACAAAGGCGCCGGCGATCCAGCTCAGGTTGACGAGTATGTACCTGCCGTAGATCGCCCCGGCCTCGGCTGATGTGCAGCGTCGATCACCGCACTTGGGCTCGTAGGCAAGGATGGACAGGACGTAGGTGGTGTTGCCTAGACAGGCGAAGAGGAAGAAGAGCATGCTGAGCCCGTCGGTCGTCTTGCGCCGCCAGTTGAGGATGAGCTGGGGCAGGCGCGAGGCAATGTACGACACGGCGCACAGCCAGCCGAAGAATTGGCCCAGGGCGTTGAACTCGGGGGCGTCGTCGTTCGATGGAGCGTCGTCGTGTCCGCCTCCGGCAGCAGTAGCCTTCCGGCCCAGGAACCAGCCGAGAACGCCTGCGGCGATGACCATGACCACCGCGAGAGAGTTCAGCAGGATGGTCTGCAGCGTGCCGGGCGCCGCGGGAGGGGGGGTATCGGCGATGTGCGGGACAGCCGGGGAGAGGGCCGACCAGTCGGAGTTCCTGCGTTCGCCGGCACCGGAGGAGTCGAGGAGTCGCGATCGTTCGTCGGGCCCGTCTTCGGCATCGGATACGGGCTTGGGCGCGGGCGTCGGCTCGTCTCGCCACGTGAAGCCTCGGTAGTAGAAGCACTGTCCTAGAAGAACAATGTCGGCAATGGTGTAGTAGATGGCCAGGATGATCTGTCGCCCAGCGGCTGTGAGAAAATGGATTTTTTTTTTTTGAAAAAAAAAAAAGAAAGAAAAAGAAGAAGAAGAAGAAATAGACAGGCTATGAGGTCAGACCCAAGGAAGCGTACCATGGTGGGGAGGACGCCCTGCAGGACGGCGCCGAGGATGTTGAAGACATCTCCCAGGAGCCAAACGATGATGAACTGTACGGAAAGAGCGTCGGCACTGCCACGTTGGAAATTCTGGATGATTTGCGGCGAGAAGACGACGACTGGCGGAGTTAGCGGGGAAGCCGGAAGGGTGAGAGAACCATGACGAGCTTGGAAACTTACCCCAGCAAGCGATAGAGACAGAGCTGGACGAGGGGAGGAAGAAAATGAGTCAGCCCTTCTTCTTTGGCGGGCCAATCCTGCATCGCCGGTTCTCCCTATACGCACCCACAAATTCCAGATATGGCCTCGACATCGAGGTTGAGGATCGCTGTAGGCGGAGCCATAATGACTGGCAGTGAAGCTGCCTTGCGGGCTCCGACAACGGCGCGAGGAGCACTTTGATGGGAAGAGAGAGAGAGAAGGGAGGGGCGGTGGTTCAGCAGCAACCTGCGTGTACCCGTGACGGATCTTGTCAATTGATCTTCAGGAGATGGGGGGAGGGGGGAGGGGGGATGTGATGCCAATCAGGGTAACCCAGGGTGTCAAGACAAAGAAAGGAAAATGTTTGGAGGAGAGTGAAGTGGCGAGACAGAGAAACGGCCGGCGCCGACAAGGAAGACTTTTTGCGATATGTTTCCTAAAACGGCACGTGGTGCACAGACGTCACGTCCGGGCTGCACAGGCTGCGTTTTACGGCAATAGAATCCTTGTTCTTGATACGTACGAGTGACATGCAATACTGTATCGACACCAATATAGGTAGTACAAGTACGGAGCAGCGATACGGAACATGATAATCTGTACTCTCTTGGTAGTAAATTCGCTACCAAGTATCCCGCAACTCGGTATCATCCCGCCGCTATAAGCCCACCCACCGGGTGCAGCTCGTAACACTAAGACAAACGGCACACACACGCATTTATACGTAATACTCCGTACTCTACATGTTTGATGCGGGGTGCCAGGGACGATGAAGAAGGAACCATTGGACTTGTTACCTTGTCCGTAGTCACTTATAACCCATGAACGGATGAATCATCTTCGTAATGAAATCTTCGCGTAGAAGGAGCCTCCTTGGTTCTTTCCTTCCGAGAAGAAGAATATCCAATAAATATTGGCTGGGAGATTTGGTTGATTTCTCCTCCCAATGACGTCTTTTGGTTCATGATGGTGCATCATTTGCCTCTCTCTCTCTCTCTCTCTGGATACCCATCTAAAAAGCCAACCGTCGACCGATTCTCGAAAAGATATACAATCTTTGATATCACCGCCAAGCTGCCGGGGCATCGTGTGCTAACAGATCGAGGAAATCGATCCTCCAGAAGTTGAATTAATCATCCCGAGATGCCGAACCTCGCTCCACCCCACTTCCCACCAGCTCACCATCTCAAGTGCTCCCCCCACCATTGATAATACGACGCGGAGAAGGCTAATAACAGTTTTCCTCGATTTAAACCCCATCTCCTCTCCCCGCACCCCATATCAACTGTCTTCTTCTTCTTCTTCTAAAAACTTCTCTTAAAGAAGCATTTTTCCCCTCTTTTTTTTTTTTGAAAAAAAGAAGAGAAAAACGCCGTCTTGATTCTCTTCCCCTTCTTTGTTTCCTTCTCTCCTCCTCCTAGAACATGTCCAACCTCCCTTTAATGCCAGAGGTCCCCTTCCTGGCCAACGACGAGTCGATGCTGACCAGACGCTTCGGCAAGGAGGTAGTAAACTATTACTCTGGCTCGACGCTGAACCGGTACTCCTTCTTGCGGTCGGACTCGGTCTTCCTCAGCGGAGCGGTGCGCAGCCCCGCAGCCCGCTTCGTCGTGCTGCACACCCTCAACCCGCTCGCCGTCGACAGGACGCGGCTGGCGCACCTCGAGCTCAGCGACGTCAGGGCCCTGATCGGCCCGAACCCCTTCAGTCTCACCGAGGAGGAGTCGGACAGGCAGTTCGACTCGTCCAAGCGGTCCCCCCTCGTCGTCTTCCTAGGCCTCTTCGCCGGCCAGGGCTCCTCGACAGACGACATACCCACCGCGGATCACGGCGTAGTGCGCGGGGACCCCTTCTTCGCCATCGATGCCACCCCCAGGCCACCCTACGAGGATGCCGCCAACGCCCTGATTGAGAGCCAGGAGGAAAAGGGGAACACGATCCAGACAAACCCGAGGGCCATGTCTCTCAACTCGGAAGCAGGTAGATAGATACTTGAGTGATGCACCTCGACACACCCCTCCGTCGCTCGCATGCTGATTTGGGAAACCAACCCTACCCTTCTTCAAGCCGCCATGTACGCCCAGTCCCGCTCCATGATTGACTGGAACAACCGCAACTCCTTCTGCGCCGGCTGCGGCAACCCGACCAAGCCCTCCCAAGCCGGCTACAAGCGCGTCTGCCCCCCGCGAGACGCCGCCGCCTCCCCTCCCGAGCGCCCCGACTGCCCTACCCGCCACGGCGTGTCGAATCTGTGCTTCCCCCGCACTGACCCCACCATGATTGCCGCCGTCGTCTCGGCCGACGGCCAGCGCGTCCTCCTCGGCCGCTCCCCTCGCTTCCCCCCGGACTGGTACAGTACCCTGGCCGGATTCCTCGAGCCGGGCGAGAGCATGGAGGAGGCCGTCCGCCGCGAAGTCTGGGAGGAGGCCGGCGTGCGTGTCGGCCGCGTCGTCATCCACTCCACCCAGCCCTGGCCGTACCCTGCCAGTCTCATGATCGGCGCCATCGCCCAGGCCCTACCCGGCGGCGAGGACATCAACCTCAACGACAGAGAGCTCGAGGACGCCAAGTGGTATACCATGGATGAGCTACGCAAGGCCCTAGGTGACCGGTCCTGGCCTCTAGGACAGCACGCCCCGAGGCAGCATGTCCCCGGCGAGCTCGGCTTGCCGCCCAGTCAGGCTATTGCTAACCAGCTCCTCACGGCTGTGGCGAACGGCTTCCTCACCACTATTCCGAAGATGTAGAGAAGGGGGTTGGTGGAGAAATTCTCTTCTAATATCAGGGTCTGCATTTCTTTTTATCTCTCTCTCTCTCTCTCTCTCGTGATGATAAATTTACATAGATATATATGACGTTATGTAGCGCAGTGGTAGTACCATATATTGGGGGTCATTCATGGTCTATATCCTCCTTCGTCTACTGAATGAGTGCCAGGAGGAACTCCCTCCCTCCCCCCCCCAAAAAAAAGTAATGTTCAGATACTGACAAAAACCACGTCGTCCATTTTAGGTGTCGTCATCTCCCCCATGCCATTATGACCACGTTCGTACAGGGCCAGCCATACAGCATCCGGGTTGACAATCTCGAGCGCCGTCCTCACCTCGTTGCTCCGCTCGGCAACCTCAACCAGAATGTCGAGTATGTCCTCAAACATCTGCTCCGAGAGACGCACGTGGGTGACCAGGGTGGTGAGGAAGCGCACGAGGGCCTCCCACAGCCTCACGGGCGACGAGTGCTGTCCCAAGCTCCCGCTGTCCGGTGCCGACGACGGTGGCAACGACAGAGACGATCCCGCGACGTCGACTACGCCACCGGCAGCCGTTGGTATGAGCACGCTCCCCTTTCCGGTACCTCCCAGCAGCGGGTGGTTAGGTGTAGATGTAGATGCCGGTGAGGTGGGGCCGTCAGCGCGCCTCGACGGCTGCTGCGACCCTGCGGCTAGGACCTGTCGCTTGACCCTCCTGCACCAGTCGCGCAGCCCGTCGGACCACTCCGTCTTGAATCGCGAGGCGAGGAAGTCGCCGGCTGCAAGGCACATCTCGGACAGGGCGCCGCACGCCTCGACGGCCACGTACGTCTCCTGGTCGTATAGGCGACTGACGACGACGGGCCAGATGTCGTTGACGAGGGGGAGGAAGGCCTCCTCGTCGGCGGCTAGGGCCGGCGATGCGGTGGAGACGAGGTCCAGGAGCGATCGGCGGAGGCGAGGCGTCGGCGACGTCAGGTAGTGCTGGGTCAGTCGGGATATCCGCAGGAGCAGCTGGTATGTGACTGTGTTGGGGGGCTTCTCTGGCTCAGGGGCCGGCGCGCCGTCATCCTCATCCTGCTGTTTCCGTTCCGCGTCTCCGCCCCACGGTGCAGTCGGGTGGCCGTGTGCGGCCTCGTGAGTCTTGTCCTCCTCGTCCCTGTAGGTTTCTCGTGCCCTGCGTCGATGGATGAGCGCCAAGAGGCCGTCGACTCCTTCCAGTTTGGGGCGTGTCTTTGTGTGATCCACCATCGTCTTCTCCTGGCCTTCTAGAAGGAGGACGTCCGACTTGACGGCCTGGTCGACCAGCTCCTTGAGGACCGAAAAGAGAGACTCGACAAACATGGGGTAGCCGTGGTAGTTTTCTAGGGCGCCAAAGACGGACTCGACCACGTCGTCGAGGAAGGGAACCAGCCGCGGCCCCGTGAGGCGGATCATCATCGTGAGCACCTGCGTGGATGCGGGGGAGATGTCTAGGCTGTCGAGCCGTAGCGCTACCGAGTTGACCATGTAATCGACGTTGTCGATGACGAGTGTCGACACGTCAGAGTACCCGCACGCTGACGCTATTTCGTCGAGCGCGACGATTGCATGCTGGCGCAGGTCGTGGTGCGGCGATCCCAAAAAGGTCACTACCGGGAACAGGACGTCGACGAGTTCGGGGCGGAAAGACTCGCCGGATCTCGTGGCGGAGTAGGACGTGATCTCCAAGGCAAGTGCCTTGATACGCCAGTCAATCGCCTCCGCCTCGGCGTGTGAGTCGAGAATCTCGACAGAGAACGAGTACAGGTCTTGCAGCACCGGTTCCACGTCCTCGTCTACCGAGGTGGTAAATGCTGACATGTCTAGGAGATCGGTTTCATCGGCAGACGAAGACTGGATCGCCTTGACGAGCTCGAAGCAGAGCCACATGGAGGCCACCTGATCTGTCGACCCGGGTGTACGAGCGCGCCCAAGCATGTTCATGGCGAGGGCCGCGGCGCCTGAGCGGGACCCGATGACGCCGAGGAGGTCAACCATCTCGGCCCGCACATCTCGTTGACTCTGGTGGTCAAGGAGCACTGGAGGATACCGTGCTTCGCCGGTCGCCAGCTGCATGGGCCCGTCTCCACTCATCGATATGACGTCTGTGCTGGACACTCTGGGCTGGGACTTGCTGTCTGCCATGAGTGCAATGGTGCTATCTCGGAGCGCGCCCGATACCGTGTCTTCCAAAGTTGCAGACTCGATCTTCAACTCATGTAGAAATCCCAGACCTCTGGAAAGGTTATGCAATGCCTGGCGCTTGACGTCCCCATCGTTGGCCTGCATGACGCGCGGGAGACTAGACAACCAGCTGTACACTGCTGACTTGGCCTTTTCGGTCAATTCGGGGTATATGCTCATAAGGTCGCGCAGGCTCGTCTCGGAGAGAGATGGTCCACCATCTCCTCGGTCAAGTATCATGGCAGTCTCAACCAGGAATGGTGCACAGTCGGCGAGCGTGGTGTGGCATTCGTCCAGCAGCTTGACGCATAGGGACCTCAACGAGTTCTGTACTTGGATACCCTCGTGCGTGCGAAGCTTCATCATCGATGAGAGTGCCAGCCTGACCTGGCCGGCAGTGGCCTTCAGCCATGCCGGACTCAAGAGCCGGTTCTTCTCTTCCACGTTTTCTTCCTCGCCGCTGCTCTGGAATTTGGCGGGTAGTTGCCTCGTCTGTACATCACCCAGCACGCGAGTGAGGACGACCCCAACCGTTTCCAGGCAGCGTGCCAGGAGAGCTCTCTTGTAGTGCTTCGGAGTAGAGAGCACTCTTGTCATTGTAGACATGGTGCCGGGGAGGAAGTTGGCCAGGGCAGCCCGGCCGACCATTGCCGTGTACACAGCCCGGATAGAGTCGAGGGCTTCCAGCCGTATGGCATCGGAGGACCCATCGGCGACGCCGTCCAGCATAACCATTATCCCATGGCCTAGAGCAGGCAGCGCATCGGCCCCTTCCAGGCCGGTGGCCGCGACCATGGATGACCCAGCCGTCTTGAAGAGGGCTGTGAGGGTGCGGAAGCCCTCCAGGGTGGTCTCCTCGGGAACTTGGCGCTTCACGCCAGATACCGGAGCCCTGTCGATGATGATCCCCAGCAGGCTCAGGAGCTGTTCCGCCATCTTCGGCGCCATCTTCGTCCTCCAGCCGTAGACGATGAGGATACGGAGGCACCTCATGCAGTCCTCCACGAGGAGCATGGGGAACGCGTCCATCTGACGGAATATGTGGGACAGCGGAAAGAAGGCATATTCGGCAATCTTCTCGTCCAGTGCGTCCGGATTGCGGCCTACCTGGTCACTCAGGATTGTGCGCAGCTGTCTGGTCAGGTCGAGGAGCTCGCGATGCGCAGCCGGCGAGTCGGACTCGCGGATGGCTAGCTGGCTGACTCTGACGCAGCATGGTTTCAGCTACATACGTGTGAGTGAAGATCGAAACCAGGCCAGGAATCATCACAGAGGGCTTAGGGTCGTGATGTTACCTTTTGGAAGACGTCGTTCCTGTCCGGGAGGCGCGTTGCTGGGTCCATCTGGGCTAGATATGCGTGCGTCAGGTCTCGACCGACGCAGAAAACCTGGCTACGTGGTCATCTCTTGACTCAAGGCCTGTAATGAGAGCCGAGACTCTTGGGATCTCAGAAAGTGATGCCAATATGGGATGCTTCCTCCGAGCCAATATTACTGGTAGATGGTGATCCTCCTATGATTTGTGATAGCCTGTGCGCTCATGCAAAGCCGAGCAAAGGCATGTGAGCGTTGGTCGTGAAAGGACAAAGATGCACCGTGTACTGGCTCGAAGATACTGTGTTACGTGCTGAAAATGGGGCAATCAATCAGAGCGTTGGTCACAGTACAATTACGTGCCTTTGGCGGCTGGATCACGTATGAGACACTGTGCTGAAAAGCCCCCTCCCCCACCACGGGATCGTCATGGAGGTTGAGCTGAGCTTCTCTAAACTGTTCGTCTCTATTCAAACTTCTCATCCTCATACAGTACAGCCTTTTGAACCCCCCCTCTCCTTACCTTTTCCATAACATCTCGATCAGAGGGAGCTCTGCCTTGGACAGCATGGCGCAGCACAACCCATTCCCGGTCACGGTCCACCCATACCCCTCTCCGGTCCCAGGTAGCACCTGCGCCTACGAGTTGGGCAACACATCGGCCAGGAACGCCGTCCTCTTTATCGGAGGGCTCGGTGATGGCCCGCATACTATCCCTTATATCCGCACGGTTTCCAAGCACCTGGAGGAATCGAGCAGCCTCGACTACTCCATCTTTGAGATCCGCATACGGAGCTCGTTCCAGGGTTTCGGTACCTCGAGCCTGAAGAATGACGTCGAGGACATCTCGGCTCTGGTCAGGTACCTCCGTGGAAAGGGCAGGCAACGCATTGTACTGTTTGGCCACTCTACGGGATGTCAGGTGCGGATATGTCCTTGCTAGTCCCACGTCGTTCAATGGGCGCACCGCTCGTCTGATGCTTGATTTCCCCCCCCTCGACAGGACTGTATCGAATATGCAAACTACGAGAAGAACCAGACCGAGCCGGTCGACGGATTCATTCTGCAGGCGCCGGTATCGGACCGGGAATTCCTGGTAGCGCAGGAGCCGAACTGGAAGGATTGCCTCGAGGCAGCGGAGCAGGCGATTGCAGAGGGAAAGGCGGACTGGTGCCTGCCCCCGGCCAAGGTGCCCAAGGCCCTGGGGTCGTACATGACCGCATACAGGCTGCGATCTTTCCTGGCAAGAGAGTACGCACTTGCCGTCCGAATGACGGTGTTCCTCCGTCGGTCGTGGCGGTTTTTTCGAGTAGGAAGATGGCTAACGGTTGGGTGCGGATACGGACAGCGGCGACGACGATTACTTCTCTTCCGACCTCTCGGATGACCAGGTGCGGAAGTACTGGGGCCGTTTCAAGAGCCCCGTCCTCGTCGCGCACTCGGAGAAGGACGAGTATGTCCCCGGTCACGTCGACCAGGAGGCCCTGAGCAAGCGATACCGCGAGGCCTCCCCGCTGGTGAGCCCACTATCGGGTCTCATCCCCAACACGGGACACACGGTGAAGCATGAGGAGGCGAGGGAGTGGCTGGCCAAGAGGGTAGGGGAGTTCCTCGAGTCGCTCCCTTGAGGCCATCCCGTCATGAGTCGCCTGGCGTGAACCTCGGGCTGCACGCAAGCGATCTGATTGCACGGCACGCCGCGCTTACCACTCCGTGATGCTTGCCGATGCGGAGCTCAGCAGCGGAGTTTGGAGGATGGCGTTGCAAGTTACGGGGTACTCGTGATGCTACCACGACTGTGCGATGTACGGGTAGTATACTGTATTGCTCACGAATTGATATATACACGAACTCGGCACCTTGGGTTTTCACGCAGGGATACATGGGAGGCGAAACATTGCAAATTCTCCAATGAAGAGGTGACGGAGGCGGGATGCACTAGAATAGTATTAGTAAGCAGTGGCCGCGCCGGTCAGTAGACCGACCACCTGAGTCGGTGAGATTTCTCCACCGCTGAGACATGAGCGAATCGGGATCGAACGGGAGGAAAGATGGAGAGTGAGAGATTACGGAGTAGTGCGTGTCTATATGTAGTATGAGTAATCCGTAGACTCTACGGAGAGGAGGACTCTGGAGAGAAAGAGACGAAGAGGAAGAAGAAGAAGAAGCTTGAGCTTGGGGTATCCTCGTGGAATTGAATGAACCAACTACGTGAGAGGCCCGCATCGACTGCCAGTAATAAGATAATAGCATCATCAATACTACCAGTAATCTGTAACCTGTACAGTACAGATGATTACTTGGCACGTGCATTGCTCGTAATCCGGTAGTAGCAGTACCCGTACCTCCTCATAGACGCGTAGCAGCTAGTAATGATAGCACGAGTACGGAGTACTCGTATCCGTAATTCGCAGTCGATGCACATTGGCTGACAAAGAAAAGCTGCCGTAATCGGTGCTCTACCGTTTTCTGTTCGGGGTTAAGTCATTCATCCTGGGTTTTTTTTTGGGGGGGGGGGGTTTTATTTGTATTTTTATTTTTTATAATTCTCGTATCTTATTCCCCAAGGCTCTGGCGTGTTCTTCTCAATTGGAAGGACCTGCGACTGCTGAAACCCCCAGGGAGCCTTCATTCCTTTTCACACCTCCGTTTCCGCACGACTCCGTAGAATATCCCCTGATTGGTTCTATTGGCGTGCTTACCGTATCTTCATCGAGCAAGCAGAGAAAATCTCGTCTCGACGCTTGCCATCCATCTATCCTTGTTTATTCTACCCTACCACCACGACATCCGGCCCCCACCTCGCGACATCGTGCGTGAGCTCATCACGACATCTTCACTGACGGTATAGCATGACGGAACTGGTGACGAATTGATCACGTTCGACCGTCCCACCCGCACGCCCGCCCGCCTGCCTGCCTGCCTGCCTGCCATGGACGCCTCTTCCGAGCAGAGGGTGCTCCATAGCACCGGCTCGTTGACGGGCTATCGGCCTCTGCGGCAGCTCGGCAGCGGCTATCTCGAGGCCACGACCGAATTCGAGCAGCCGTTCTGCGGAAACAAGGAGGGCTGGGGGCCTCTGAGCCCCTTCCGCTACGACTTCACACCCTGCTTCATCGATGTCTGGGTTGCCATCGTCGCCGTCGGCGGCCTCGTCCTCGGTGCCGGTGCCGTCTGGCTGCTCAGCAAGCAGAGGCCTCTGGTTGCCGATATCAAGACTCCGCGCTTCTGGGTGAAGCAGGTACGTCCGCCGATATGCATATGACCACTTCCGAGTGAGAGAGAGAGAGAGAGAAGGGGGGGGGAGACAGAGAGCAGAGAAAGCTGACAGGCATGCCTTTTTGTTGTGTTGCACCAGACCCTCCTTGCTGTCGTCATCGCCGACGTCGTAGTCCAGCTCGGCTTACAGATCATCAGCTACGGATCGATTGCCCTCGGCGACTTCCGAACATGGACTACTATCCTGACGATTGCCTCCATGGGCGTCATATTCACGATACAGTGGCTGGAGGAGTCGCGCATGCGCCACGCCCACGGTGTCGTGCTCTTCTACTGGCTCCTGCTCATCATCGCCTCGGCCGTCAAGCTCCGGTCGCTCATCTCGCAGCAGCTCTACGCCGACCCCGAGAACCTGCCCTACTTTGTCGTCTACTGCGCCGGCTTCGGCCTCGGCCTGGCCGAGTTCCTGGTCGAGTGGCTCTGGCCGCGCACCCTGCTGGGCGCCGACGCCTACGCCGCCATCGACGACGACGAGGGCGAGGAGTGCCCGGTCGAGTACGCCACCATCTTCTCCCGTCTGGCCTTTGACTGGATGACGCCCATGATGAGGCGCGGCTACAAGGTCTTCCTGACCGAGGCCGACCTGTGGGGCCTTGCCAGGTCCGACCAGACCAAGAACACCTACGCCGCCTTCAGCGAGGCCTGGGGCAGGGAGCTGAAGCACCGCCCCAGCTCCCCGTCTCTCTGGCTCACCCTCGCCCGAGCCCACGGTGGGTCGTATCTCATCGCCGCCGTCTTCAAGGTTGGGAACGACCTCTCCCAGTACATCCAGCCGCAGCTCCTGCGCCTCCTCATCGCCTTTGTCGCGTCGTACGCCGGCAACGTGACCGAGGAGCCCGTCATCAAGGGTGCCGCCATCGCCTTGGCCATGTTCGGCTGTGCTTCTTTCCAGACTGTCATGATTGTAAGTGTAGCACACGCAATCGGCCCGGCCACCTAGAACCGTCTCATATCTTGTCTCTCTCTCTCTCTCTCTCTCTCTCTCTCTCACGCTCACACGCCCCGTCTCTAGCACCAATACTTCCAACGCTCGTTCGAGACCGGTATGCGCATCAAGGGGAGCCTGGCTTCCTCCATCTACCGCAAGTCCCTCAAGCTGTCCAACGAGGGGCGGTCTTCCAAGACGACCGGCGACATTGTCAACTACATGGCCGTCGATGCTCAGCGGCTCCAGGACTTCACGCAGATAGGCCACCAGATCTGGTCCGCCCCTCTGCAGATCACCATCTGCATGGTCTCCCTCTACAACCTCGTAGGGTGGTCCATGATGGCCGGGATTGCCGTCATGATCATCATGATGCCCATCCAGGGCTTCACGGCCAAGCTCATGAAGAACATGCAGAAGAGCCAGATGAAGAACAAGGACGCCCGGAGCCGCCTCATCACCGAGATCATCAACAACATGAAGTCCATCAAGCTGTACGCCTGGGGCGGCGCCTTTATGAACAAGCTCAACCATGTCCGCAACGAGCAGGAGCTCAAGAACCTGCGCAAGATCGGTGCCACCCAGGCCATCGCCAACTTCACGTGGTCCACGGCCCCCTTCTTCGTGTCGTGCTCCACGTTCACTGCCTTTGTCCTCACTCAGGACAGGCCCCTGACGACCGAGATCATCTTCCCCTGCCTTGGTGAGTCCCCCGCCCCCATCGACGGCGATGCAGGTACAGGGGCTCCTGTGCGCGCGTGCGTGTACGTGACGGCTGACACGTGTGCCATACAGCCCTTTTCAACCTCCTGACCTTCCCGCTAGCGGTCCTCCCCATGGTCATCTCGGCCATGGTCGAGGCCAGCGTCGCTGCCGGTCGCATCACCAAGTTCCTCGCCGCCGAGGAGCTGCAGTCCGACGCCGTCACCTTCAAGCCCGCCCCCAGGGAGCTGGGCGAGGAGACCGTCGTCGTGCGCGGCGGTTCGTTCTCGTGGAACCGCCACGAGGACAAGCGGGTCCTGGAGGACATCGACTTCACCGCCTACAAGGGAGAGCTGTCGTGCATCGTCGGCAGCGTCGGAGCCGGCAAGTCGTCGCTCCTGCAGTCCCTCATCGGCGACCTGTTCAAGGAGAAGGGTACCGTCGAGGTCAGGGGCACCATCTCGTACGCGTCGCAGCAGACGTGGATCCTCAACGCCTCGGTCAAGGAGAACATCGTGTTCGGATACCGCTACGACTCCGAGTTCTACGAGCGCACCGTCGAGGCCTGCGCCCTCCTCGACGACTTTGCCCAGCTGCCGGACGGTGACGAGACGATTGTGGGTGAGCGCGGCATCTCGCTGAGCGGCGGGCAGAAGGCCCGCGTCTCCCTCGCCCGCGCCGTCTACGCCCGCGCCGACATCGTCCTCCTCGACGACATCCTCTCGGCCGTCGACTCGCACGTCGGCAAGCACATCACCGAGCACGTCCTCGGCCCCCGCGGTCTCCTGTCGACCAAGACGCGTATCCTGGCCACCAACGCCATCGCCGTCCTCCGGCAATCCAGCTACGTCACCCTGCTCAGAGACGGCAAGATCTGGGAGAAGGGCACGTACAGGGAGCTGGCCGCCATGAAGGGCGCCGTTGCCGAGCTCCTGCGCCACGCCGGCCACGAGGACGGCAGCGGATCCTCGAGCGGCTCGGCCAGCGAGACGTCGACCGTCATCGAAGCCCCCGCCACGCAGACCAAGGAGGAGCTGGACGAGAGCGAGGAGTGCGTGCCCGAGATGGAGCCCATCAAGGCCGGCGCGTCGACCGCCGGCGGCAAGCCCCGCTCCAGCAGCACGGCCACGCTCCGACGTGCCAGCACGGCATCCTTCCGGGGGCCCCGCGGCAAGCTGACGGACGAGGAGGTCGCCGGTGCCGGTGCCGGGGCCAGGTCCAGGCAGAACAAGGAGCTCGTGGAGCAGGGAAAGGTCAAGTGGAACGTGTACCTCGAGTACGCGCGCGAGAACGACGTCGTTGCCGTGTGCGTCTACCTCTTCACGATGCTCGCGTCGCAGGCGGCCAACATGGGCGGCTCGGTGTGGCTGAAGCAGTGGTCGGAGAGCAACCAGGACAGCGGGGCGAACACGCGGGTGGGCATGTACATTGGCGTGTACTTCGCCTTCGGGATCGGGTCGTCGCTCCTGACGGTGATCCAGACGCTCGTGCTGTGGATCTTCTGCTCGATCGAGGCGTCGCGCAAGTTCCACGAGCGCATGGCCAACGCCATCTTCCGGGCGCCCATGTCCTTCTTCGACACGACGCCGGCGGGGCGGATCCTCAACCGCTTCTCCAGCGACATCTACAAGATCGACGAGGTGCTGGCGCGCACCTTCAACCAGCTCCTGGTCAGCACGACCAGGTCCCTGTTCACGCTGGCCGTCATCTCGGTGTCGACGCCGGCCTTCGTCGGGCTCATCGTGCCCCTGGTGGGGGCCTACTACTGGATCCAGCGGTACTACCTCCGGACGTCGCGCGAGCTCAAGCGGCTCGACAGCGTGAGCCGCAGCCCCATCTACGCGCACTTCCAGGAGTCGCTGGGCGGGGTGTCGACGATCCGGGCGTACCGGCAGCAGCAGAGGTTCGAGCTGGAGAACGAGTGGCGCGTGGACGCGAACCTCAGGGCCTACTTCCCGTCCGTCAGCGCCAACCGCTGGCTGGCGATGCGGCTCGAGATCATCGGCGCGCTGGTGATCCTGGCCGCGGCCGGGTTCTCGGTCATGTCGGTGGCCAGCGGCAGCGGGCTGAGCGCGGGCCTGGTCGGCCTGGCCATGTCGTACGCCCTCCAGATCACCACGGCGCTCAACTGGATCGTGCGGCAGACGGTCGAGGTCGAGACCAACATCGTGGCCGTCGAGCGCGTGCTCGAGTACGCCCGGCTGCCCAGCGAGGCGGCCGAGGTGGTGCCGGGCACGAGGCCGCCGGTGGCCTGGCCGGCCAAGGGGGAGGTGGACTTTGTCAACTACAGCACCCGGTACCGCGAGGGCCTGGACCTCGTCCTCAGGAACGTCAGCCTCGACATCAGGTCCCACGAGAAGATCGGCGTCGTCGGCCGCACGGGGGCCGGCAAGTCGTCCCTCACGCTGGCCCTGTTCCGCCTCATCGAGCCGGTCACGGGCCGCATCGACATCGACGGGCTCGACACGTCGTCCATCGGCCTGCTCGATCTGAGGAGACGTCTGGCCATCATCCCGCAGGACGCTGCTCTGTTTGAGGGTACGGTAAGGGATAACCTCGATCCCGCACACCTCCGTGACGATACGGAACTGTGGAGTGTTCTGGGTAAGTCTATCTCTCTCTCTCTCTCTCTCTCTCTCTCTCCCTCTCTCTCCCTCTCTCTCTCCCTCTCTCTCCCCCTCTCNCACGTCGTCCATCGGCCTGCTCGATCTGAGGAGACGTCTGGCCATCATCCCGCAGGACGCTGCTCTGTTTGAGGGTACGGTAAGGGATAACCTCGTTCCCGCACAGCTCCGTGAAGATACGGAACTGTTCAGTGTACTGGGTTAGACTATCTCTCCCTCTCTCTCTCCCTCTCTCTCTCCCTCTCTCTCTCCTTTCCTCTTTATATAATCTCCCCTCGACAATTCTAACCCTCTTCTTTTTTTTATTACCAGAACACGCCCGTCTCAAAGATCACGTCGTATGCATGGGTGATGGTCTTGACTCTAAGATTAACGAAGGAGGTGAGTTGTGTTTATCATCTTTTCTGTCCTATCTTTCCCTCTACTTCCCACATGTTATCCTCCCCCTTTTCTCTTTTCTAGATTTCTCCTATACATGCATATATATATATATGTGTGTGTGTGTGCGTGTGTGCGTGTTATTCGGCATATCCTCTGACTTTCGACTTCGACAGGCTCCAACCTCTCCCAAGGTCAGAGACAGCTAGTCAACCTCGCCCGCGCCATGCTGACCCCGTCCAACATCCTCGTGCTGGACGAGGCCACGGCGGCCGTGGACATCCAGACGGACACGATGCTCCAGCGCACCCTCCGGTCCCCCCTGTTCGCCAACCGCACCATCATCACGGTAGCCCACAGGCTCAACACCATACTCGACAGCGACAGGGTCGTGGTCCTCGACAAGGGCGAGGTGGCCGAATTCGACACGCCCAAGGCGCTCTACGCGAAGCAGGGTATCTTCTACAACCTCATGAAGCAGGCCGGTCTCGAGATGGACTCACCTTCTTCTGCTCAGCTGACTACAGCTGATACGGCTCAGACGCAGGATGGTCAGGAGTGAGTCACCCCGTCCTTGGTTTTTTCTTCCTCCTCTTTTCTTTTTTTTCTCTCTCGGATCACACTCTGTACTTGGATTATACTAGTATATCTATTAGACAAGGGGAGAGGCAAAAAAAAAACCAAAACAACCCAAAAAAAAAAAAAAAAGAATTGTCAAAGTGATGGGGGTGGGGGGGGGGGACACAGAATGTGTATCATGTATTATAAGAATTGATTTTCTTTTTTTTTCTCATCGCTATTTACTACTGTGATGTACCACACCTTGATTCCGTGTCGGTCAACGTTGCATCAACGCATGAACATGACATGATGATACAGGTGCATCAGCCCCTTTCAGTCTGCAAGAGCCTCCTGCGATTCATGGTGATGGCTGCTATCGTCTTGGATATATATATATATATATATATGCAAACCCTCATCCAGGTAGGTCTAGCTAGCTCCATCTGATGTCTGTGTGTGTGGAAACGCTCTCGGAGTCGTGATGGTGGGTCGCGTCGCCGTCCACCTTGTTCTTGATGCCATCTATTATGCTACGAAGATGACGATAAGAAGGGCCGGCGGAAACGGTTGCTGTCCATGTTTGTCGTTGCTGTATCCTAGCCCAACCCAACTCTCGAGGCAACCGCCAGCGGAACGATCGTCAGTCACCAGGTGTCTAGAGCGGCAATGCTAGTAATACTGGGCATCTTGATGTTTGTAGTCTCCCCCCCCTTCCCTCCCCTCTTCTAGCTCAATCCAACAAGTTTTGATTCTTCTTTCGTCTGTACGGGCAGGGAAGCAAACAATGTGGAGAGCAAACAGGAGAATTGGAGCAAGTCAAAAAAAAATATTTAAATATTTAAGAATAAGAATATAAACATATATAATTAAATAATTAAAAAACTTCTTTTTTCCCCTCCCAACTTGATGACAATGATACTCGTACTCGTATGTATTCCATGTTACCCTTTTCATGATCCTCTCTCCTGTGTGTGTGTGTGTGCTCTTTTTCGTCCTCATATATAGGAAGAAGGAGAAGAAGCAAACAAGAGAGATGATGAGAGATCAGAAGACAAGACGGGAGAGGAGAGAGAAGGAGGGGGGGGAGGATGATGAAGGGGAAAGAGAAATAAGAAGTAGGAAGAAGCAAGGGAAAGAAAAAGAAAACATGAAACGCGGCAGACTGATATACAACCCTCACTACCTGCCGCGACATTATATAGTTGCATCTCATTCTTCTGTACTCCAAAAGTGTCCATGCATGTATATACATGCATGTATGATATAATAAAATATTGACAGTAAATCAGACGAAGACAATCTTCCTTTTTTCTCTCTTCTTTTTAGAAAAAGAAAAAAGAAGAGAGAAGACCCCCAGGTACGCGGACGCGGGACATTGGTAGAAGAAGCCTTTCCTGTGAGGTCTCCCAACTGCTCGGTAGGTTTCTTACCCGTCTACATATCCCAAACCTCAGATGCAAAGGGGAAAAGTGCTCCGTAGGATGATTTTCTTTTTTTTTTTTCATGTATATCCTTCTTTTGGTGTGTATCACGTTACATGACACACACACACACACACACACACATATATATATATATAAGCACGGGACTGATCTGAGCTGCCACTTACCCTGATGCTCGGTCTGGTGAGGAGCCGTCTTTCTAGCTCGAGGGGGGGGAAACAGTTCGAGGAGATGGTGATATTGTATGCATATTATATATTGTACATGTATATATATACATGTATATATATAAATACACACATGTATGAGTAGATGAAGATTGATATAGAGGATACAGCAATACAGCATGTACTCGATACATGTGAGCAGCTCACCTGTGTATCGTACCTGTACCCGTCTATTACCTGTAGACTCTCTCATCAGTGATTACTCCAGAACTTCATCTACCCTTCTCAGCATGTACGTGCATGTATGCATAGACAGCAGTCTACACCTCATCCTCTGTTTCCTCTCCGTATCCCATGGCGTGAATGTATACAAGATGAGGGATGTAGATGAACACTGTGATATATATATATATACTATATACTATGTACTATATATACTATATACTATCTATACTACATACCATATATACTATATATACTATATAGAGGGGAGTCAATGTGTCTTGCTGTGCCTTTCTTGTACGTGTCGACATCCCAGCGGACCGACTTGCGGAGCCTTGATGCTCCTCTCCTGTCTGTGCATACACAAACATGTCGTGAGACCATGCCTTTCGTCTTTCGTCGGAAGCACGAAACCGTCCTCTCGGGGCTCGCGGCTCCAATCGCTCCCCCCCCCCCCCCTCTTCTCAAGGTGGCACGTCGTAGGCGGAAGAACGGCTCCAATCCGCATCCTTGGATTGTGAGAGTAAAAAGAAGAAAAGAAGAAAGAAGAAAGAAAGAAAGAAAGAGGGAGAGAGAGAGAGAAGAGAAGGAAAGAAGAGAGGAGAACAGGAGGGTCGCAGTAGTGCCATGCAGGTCAAAGCACACGCCGCGCGCACCTCACATCTCACCAACCGCCTTGTCCAGCAAACCTGTTTCGCATCGACGGCAAGAATAACATGCAACGCGACCCGCCCCCCTCCCCTCCCCTCCCCTTCCCCGAGCCACGCACACAGCCGTCCTCTCCAGCTCGATAGAGTCCATGGAGCTCTGCTGTATCGGTCGCGATACGCCGGCGTGGTCTCTGCCCATGGACCCCCTCATGGAGGGAGGGGGCGGGAGGGGCGTGTGCGGCACCGTGCGACGGTCCAACCAATTCCTTGTCCAGTAAAGAAAGGTCCGAGAAATCGTCTCTTCCAGAAATCATCTTCGCTCTCTTCCTCTCCCTCTGCAAATCTTGATGACCAATGTTGGGAAGAGTTGAGGAGGGCCATTCGGATTTCATGTCGAGTCATAATACTCCGTAAATACGAGTACACGCATACACACACACACCAAGCTCGGCCTTTTGTTCAAGACTGGCACTGGCTGACCCCCCCCCCCCTCCCCCCCACCCCAAGATTATGCAGGGCGACGGCGATCCGTCATGCGTCTCTCTGTCCATGCCGAGATCGACTTGCGGTCATAATACCCCGAGGAAAATCGAATATCTGAATTATCATGAGCGCAAATCGATCTCGCCTCCGGCGCACCGGGTCAGCCCCGCGGAGAAAATATGACAGTTCTGCCTCTCGAACCTGTGATACCTGACTGTTATCTCTTCGGTACAGGTATGACCAACCAGTCTTGGCTTAATGCTTAGGGGGTCCCCATTGTCCCCCTTCAGGGGTGGCCGTGACTGAAGTAGGTCCGAGATGGTTCATGCAGAATGTGATCACGGCCTTGTTTTCCTTCTTGTCTTCCTCCCGTCTCCCTCCCTCTTTCCCTCCCCTTCCCTCATGGCCGGCATTCAGCAATGCACTAGTCTCGTGTGCGTCGTGGAACCGTCTCGTCCTGCCGGGTCTCACCACCACGGTCAATCACCCGCCTCGTTTCGTGCCCCGTACAGAGCAAATCATCAGGGTCCGACACATGTCTGCCTCGGTGTAGCTGGTCATGATGCTGGTGCCGTCATGCCTCTCAACCTTTCGACCCCAACGTCGGACGCTCCGACCCTTCCACTCGGCGTCACGTAACCTGAGAGGTGATCGCAAGCTTCCTCCCCAATCCCGGCCTCGGACGAGCTTTCTTCGAAGAGGCTTCGTCCTCATCAGGACCGCGTCGGGGCGGGCAATGCAGCTAACCGGTCTCGAGTGGCGCAAGGTGCGAAAAAAAAAAAGAAGAGAAAAGAGACTCTCTAGGGTTGGCCGTACGTGTTACTCGTACCTGTATGCACCGAGCATCACTCCGAGGCCACATCGCCACCGAGAACGTATCGGGTGCGAAACGGAAACTAGTGCTGCTCACCGGCCTCGACATGCTGTGTCCGTGTCACGCCGACCATGTATAGTAATCAATCGCAGCCGCAGCTTTCAGAGGTGGTGTGATGACCGATGCACTGAGCCGGCAGACGGTCACCATCACACATCCCTTGACCGGATAGATATCTAGCCTATAAGCTGGTATGATGGCCAGCTAGCCTTCATGACCTCGCTAGCTAAATAGCCACAGCATAGGTTACTCATTCACGTAAATGCCATACCGGTCATGCTCGCACGGGTAGTCATCATACATGTACTCGCGCGCTCGTGACTGCTCCCAAGATGGACAGGGGCAGCCTTCCGTCCTACGTCTCTGTTGTCTCGAGAAAACAAGACCGCTGTTTCTGGCCAGGTCGCAGGGGTCGGAGCTTTCGCTGGCGCCGGGCGGCAATAGAAGGCCCGTAGATGGTGCTCTTCATGAATATCCATTCTCCCATGGCCCGTCGTTAATCTCTGTACTACCTGGCCCGTGGTTTGTAATCTCCGGCTCCAATGTGGCGGAGGAGGATGGCTGTCACCGATCCTCTCTTCTTCCCTCCTTTGGCATGGTCGTGTCAAGGATGAGCCGATCGCCTGCCGCGTCCCGTGTCTTGCACCGCTTGCATCGGCTGTCTCTCTGGCGTACAAGCCACAGATGCGAGGGCTCACAGTACTCTGTAGTGAGACCGTCAATGTAATCACGCTCCCATACGGCACTGTACAGTTTAGTCAGACGACAGTGACAACTTTCCCGAGTATTCACTACCTTTGTCAGTAGGACGTATGCGTACCCAACTTGATGCTACGACGGCATGCTCGCGTCGCCTGTCCCGAGACCTGGCTTGGAGCACTCCAACTCGGCCACCGCCCACCAGGACGTCCGGAGGAGGATCCTGGCCTGCCAGAGTTGCCTTGCCTTCCTTACCCTGTCAACGATAGAGGAAGCTGCCGCCATCCTCAGGTAGCAGCGCACTAGGTGTACGTACATGTAGTACCACGTCAAGTAAATCCTTGGCGTACAGTACAGGTAGCGACGGGGCGGATCAGCGGGGCCATGGCGTACGTTGCACCTAGCACGTACCCGTACCGCACACGAGTACAGATTACTTGTAGTCTCGTACGTGACGGTACTCG